AAGTTCTCTACGCCGCCTTATCTGAGCAGCTGAGTCTCATCTGTTGAGTTTCATTTAGAGGTCATCGATCATTCTGCACTGCATGATTGGAAAGCTTGTGAGCAAGCCAAACATATGACGGAACAAAAAAAATTTAAACTTGAGTTATTGAAATGCAAATGCATGCAGCGTTTTCAGCATGACAGCCTGTCACATTTGGGGGAAATGAGGCAGCGCAGGCTCTCTACAGACAGACACTAAATAAGTTTATTGTTGCTGAATTATGGTTTGGAGAGAAAGTTATTATTCAAGGATTCCTAAACTGAATGTCTAGCTTACATACGGAAGCTGCACAGAAGAGAGCGGCAGATGTGGACAATGTCTCTGGTGTGTCGATAATTGCAGATAGAGTAAATTAAACAATTGCCTTTCAGCTAATCTCGCCACAGCTTTTTTTCAAATAATTAGGTGTGTTCACTTTGTTGCAGGAGGAAAAAAATATGGAAACAAACACGATGAGCAATGCACTGAAAAGGATGCATGCGGCTAAATACAGTGGATGATGGCGATGACATGAATTAATTGCATGCTAAAGGGGATTTTCTGCTGGAAATTTACTGTATTATTCTCTCTTCTGTTGGAGTTGGGCATGCACTCAATGTTTTCATTTACAAATTATGATTTATCAAATTTGGAAAGCTGAGTGGAAATGGCGAAATTCAATCACATGTCCTCCGAAAAGATATTAAAGTTAATCGATGTGGAAAATCTCTCCAGCAACAAATAAATCATGTGATAAATGGAAAAAGAAAATGGACTTTTTGAGTGATTACTGACAGAGTTTCCATGGCTGCTTCAGGCTTTATTGCACAACAGTCTCTGTCCACCGAAACCAGCCAGACATTTATACTGTCACTCCCGAATATAACTCTTCATTAGTTGCTCCGTTATAATACAGCCAAATGCATTTCTTTTGTCTTCGCATGAAATACAACTGACATTAACTGACTCTGTAGAAGACAAACAAGTTACTCAAATCTAATCAGCTCTTGAAGGACTCTGTTTTTCCATTTTTTCTACCTGATGTGTTTTTTGCCTCTGAAAGCTGAGGGAAATGCACCTCATTTGCATTTTATATTTTGCGTAAAATTTGCTTGACAGTTTGGCAACTGCTCTTCTGCCCTCTACCTCCCTGACTTTCTGCCTGTCTACCTGGTCGTCTCATCTTTTTTTATAACGCTACTTTTCCATCTGTCTGCCTGTCATCCATCACTGAGGGCTGGGTGACTCCCAACTGTCTGTCACTAAAAGAGTAGAAAGAACGAAGAGGGCGGGCGGTGGATGAGAGAAAGAGCAGGCTGGAGATGAGCCGGAGAGACAGAGAAACAAGGCAGAACATAAAACTGCAGGAGCTTGTAATAGTGTTTCCTAGACATTAATTAGCTGCAGTCATTCCTGTACAAACACACAGTAATAAAACTGATATACTGAGATCCTCTCCTTCTTTTCTCCTTTTCCTTCTGCTCGCTTCATCTCTCCGCTGCTCTTTTCCCTTTTCCTCCCTTCTACTCTCCCTTCTTCTCGCCTCTCCTTTTTATTTTTTTATATTTTTTTCTTCTTCTCCTCCTTTTCCCTCCTTCATTTTTTCCTCTTAAACCCTTCTCTCTCCTTTCCTCTCCTTATTTTTTCTACCTTATTCTTTCCTCTCCTAACTGCTTATCTCCTTTCATCTCTCTTCTTTTCTTCTCTCTTTGCTGCTAGTCTCCTTATTTTTTCTCTTTTCCTTTTTTCACCTGTATCTTCTCTTCTCTCCCTTTTCTCTTTGCTTCTCATGTCCTCCTTTTTCCTCCCTTCTTTTCTCCTCTTCTCCTCCCTCGTTCTTCCTTTCTTCTCCTTCTTTTTTCTATCTAATATCCTTTCCTTATTTCTTCATCCTTTGCTTTTTGTCTCCCAATTTTTTTACTTCTCCTTTCTTTCCTTTCCTTTTTATCCTCCCTTCTTCTCTCTCCTGTCCTCCTTTTTTCTTTCATTCTCTCCCAAGTTGTCAACTTCTCTCCTCATGTCTGCCCCTCACCTCTCTGTCCCCCCTTTCTCTTCTCCTTCTCTCTTCTTTCCCCTTTCTTTGGCTCTTCTCCCCACTGACGAGGACTATGAAGAAAAAGCGAGAGAATGTAGGAGGAAGGGGAGAAAGAGACAGAAAAAAGAGAAAGATTGAGGAGGAGTGGATCACCCTCAGTCTCTGTCTGTCCTCCTCTCGTATTGCTGAAGGGGAAGGCAAGATTCATCATGGCCTTGGCTCTCTCTCTCTCACACACACACACACACACACACACACACACACACACACACACACACATTTTTAAAGACTTACGGACACACTTATTCATGCACATAAAAACATGCAGTTGCAAAACCACACACACACACACACACATACACACACACACACACACACACACAGGCTGTTAAACGCACACTTGCAGTTGTACACAGACACGCGCAGCCCCTTGCTCCATTGCATTATTTATTTGTGCTGGCAGACAGTCGAGGTAGCCAAGCAGCAGAAGCAAGGATGCTTCCTTTTACATATGGCCTTTTCATATACTGGTCTGTGACACACACACACACACACACACACACACACACACACACACACACACACACACACACACACACCCACACCAACAGCAGTCTCATCCTCGTCTGTCCTTGTCTTTCATCTCTCTTTCCATTTACATTAATATCACTCCCTTTTCTCCCTTTTTTCATTCCTCTCATACTTGGTGATTTGTCTTCTCTTTCTCCTTTCTCCTGATCTTGACCTCCATCCTCTCTCTTCACTTAGTTAAACATCATTCTCCTCTTCCTCATCTCCCCCTGTCCTCCTACATCAGTATCATTCTCTCTCTCTCTCCTCTCCTCTCCTGTCCTCTCCTCTCCTCTCCTCTCCTCTCCTCCCCTCAACAGTCATTTCTTTCCAGCAGTCCAGTCTGAAAGATCAGCTCCTCTGAGAGTCAAGGCAAATGTAGAGCATATTACTGCTTCTCTTGCTGCCCCCTCCTTGTTAACACATTCTTTTTATATCTCTGATTCTGTTTCCTTTCCTCTATATTGCACAGGAACAGGATTTCTTTTCAACTCACGCACGAATACTTTGCAAACTTTTGAAGTGTCGAAAATACAGCTGGTTATCAAATCTTAAACCTTTTTGAAATCTGACCCAAATGAATCAAGTTGTCATCGAATGCTTCAGATGAAGGCATGGTAGCAGTGTGGCTTTAGAGACGGCAGTGCCGGTGTTGGTGGGTCTGGTTGGTATATCCAATCCATCCTGTCCATCCACATTATGCAGACATTTGTGACTCCCAGTAGATGAATCCTAATAACTTTGGTGATCCCTGACTTTTTTTTCTTGTGCCAACATGAGGTTGACATTTTTGGTTTTGGGTGAAATGTCTTGTCAATTATGGGATGAATTGTCATTTCATACACCTTTAGGATGAACTGTAATTTGTTCAATCAGGGATTGAACCAGCAACCTTCTGGTCATAAGTCTGCTACTTCATGAGAGAGACTGAATTTTTTATACAAACTTTTTTTACTACTGCATATTTATTGTTTTTCCACCTGCACCTAATTTAGAAAAACTATTGTCAGTTTCAGGAAAATAGGCATGGTAATTTTATATTGTGAAAACTGTATATTGTTACTTGGTGGTAATTTAATTTGAGAAACCATCTCTGTCAGTCTCTCCTTGGCTCTCTTTTGTAGAATTTAGAGTCTACTTTGTGTCTCTTAGATCAAAATAAAGCAGGCTAAAACAATCCACATTAGAGAGAGTGAGAGAAGGAGGAGCAATGGGATGGAGGGAGGAGAAATGGAGAGGTTAATGGAGAGACGAGGGGGGAGCGAGGGAGGAGAAGAGCTAATAAAGCAGGGATAAGGAGGCTTAGAAAGTAATGATAAAATATAGTGATGTCATAGGGTTGATTTTGCGCTGCTTGTGTGTGTGTGTGTGTGTGTGTGTGTGTGTGTTGCTTGTTTTCCTGTGTGGGTTTGTGTTTATGCGTGTGTGTTCTTGGCTGATGTCCTTGACTATATGACTGATTATATCATTGCTTCAGGTCCCTGTTAGAGCAGAAAGAGAGAGAGAGAGAGAGAGAGAGAGAGAGAGAGAGAGAGAGAGACTGTATGTGCGTGTTGTGTCTGTGTAGGTTTGTGTGTTCACATTATGTGTGAGAATGATTGTGTCTGCTTGAATATACCCACTCCCTCAGGTCTTCAAAACACTGCATCACACACACCTTGTTTGTTTTTATAGGACCGTCCTACATCCGCATTAGGGTTGTTAACCAATATTCTAAACTTGATTATATAATCGAATTGCAAAAAAAATCTGACATTCGATTATGAAAATTAATATCGGTTGTGGGAAAACCAGCACTACTGCAGCTGTCCGCCTTAAGAGTTCTCACGTGGGCCTGAGCCGCTGCACTGAATGCATTGTATGACAGACAGGAGTCACTTTAATGGATCGAGCTTCCTGTTTAAATTACAAGCATTGTCCTTTACCAGAAGCTGATGTTGATATGGTTTGTACGACTGTATTAAGACAGTGTGGATTTCAATACACAATTTTGTGTCGTTAAGAATTGTGGAAAAAAAATTTACACATGGCCATACCTTTGATGATGCTCATATCAAAATAATTTAAACCTGACGCATGGGGACAGACAATTAAAATATGTTTATTGCTGAAAGAAAACAGGCAATACTGTTTCAAGACTCCAATTAGCCAGCTCGCCAATATGCAGGCTAAAATGAAACATTAAAAACAAAACATCTTCATAAATAATGAGCCACAAAAAGAGTATGAAAGTTGTTTATGGTTCCTCTTTTTAATCAGGCCAACAGTTAACAGTAAGCATCACCTCCCTTCCTAGCATGTTTATATCTTCACTGTTCTTGACATTTAACCAAACTTTTCTTCCTTTCTCTCCCCTGCCTTGCTCTCTGTGCAGGTATTTCGTACCGACTTCATCACGGCCATGAAGCTGCCGGATTCGGCTCAGCTCGGCCCGGACGACTTCTACGTGCTCTCTGACCCATGGAGACAAGAATGGGAGAAGGGGGTACAGGTCCCTGCCAGCCTTGAGGCCATACCAGAGCCTGTGGTCAGGTAGGATACACACCGAACACATACCACATGCACACACCAACAGCCATTAACTCATGCAAGAGATTGATATCAAGTAAATTAAGAATTTAAGCGTATTAACTGTTTAATAGTGATTTAATACCAGTTCAGCCTCTGGCATTGACATTATGCCACCATCTAAACACACTGGCAGTTTCCACGGTCACAAAGATCTTGAAAGAGATTTGAACTTTTGTTGATGACTAATGGTTGTTTTGGAAAATTGCCAAAATGTCAGTGATTGTGGTACAAAGTTGATACAACCTTGAAAATTCCATTTACTTCAGTATTTTTCTAAAAAATGCAACAAAATGAGCACGCTGACATACCAGGAGTAAAAGTGTTTTAAGTTACACAGCTGTCGTACATTCATGAACGTTTTGGAAATGTTGAGGAAAAATTTGGCATTGGATTGCAATAAAAAGTGTGGGAACCATGTAATTACACTTGTTAGCTTTGCATATTTGTCAATGGAATACATGCACACACACACATCTACATGCAGAAAAGGACACAAACTGAGACCCTCAGCTTCCTGCCCTCTAACTAATTCGTACACAAACACACACACACTTTGGGGAGCTGGTTTGGATGCATGTGCAGGCAATGAAACACACACACACACACACACACACACACACACACACACACACACACACACACACACACACAGAAGCTGGTAGGCAGATGTGTACAGGCATGCACTTCGACCCACTTATATTCGCTCTCTCTCTCTCTTGCCCCAGTAGGTTGTTGTGGCTCTCTAGTACTACTGCAGCTGCTTCACATACCCATGTGGTTTGTTTGGCATTCTAGGAACTAATGAAAATGCTCAGACTGCCTGGTAATGCCTGTTAGACAGACATGTCATACTGGGAGGCCACACACACACGCGCACACACACACACACACACACACACACACACACACACACACACACACAACCATGAATTCTCTTTGGAAGACAGACAAATTATCCAGTCATGTGAGATTTGGTCAAATGTTCTGTATCCATGACCATTTTTTTTTTGTGCCTGCCTCAAGAAAACCAGATGCAGAGCGAGCTCGCTCTCACAGACAAAAGACAAGTATACGGAAAAAAACAAAACATTTTTGATGCATATGAAACAGCCAAAAAACTGCTGAACATGAAGTTGAATGCTGTGGTAAATGTTTTCCACTTGTCAGAGTTAAGGCGTCTCTTGTTTCTACTCTCTACTGGAGTTTAAGGCTTCGCCTTCAGTGTTTCATGTTATTGGAGGCATTTTGTGCTGTTTGTCTTCCTTTCTCCCAGTCAACTGAAGAACCTTAGTGGAGTCAGTGTGTCACCGAAAGTTAAAACTCCAATAAATACATTCATTGAGTCAGTCCATTTTAAATACGATTTTTTTTTAAATGCGTACTTGATTTTTGAGGGTCATAACGGTTGAAAAAAAAGAGCGGGTTGGTGATCGTGCTGTAAAAACTGAAAACAGTTTTTCCGTGCTGACTGGCAACTCCAACTGCAATTGAAAAAAACAAAACAGAAGCCAGTCAGCTCCAATAACATAAAATAAACACTTCAAATAAAACAAACAAAAACGTAAATCAAATCTAGTGTTGCCAAATGAAATTGCATACTTTATGAGGAAACCAGAGAACCTGAAATCAATCTTTGACTAGTAAGTGAAAAGGCTTGCATCAGCAGTTTTACCTGGGAAGAGAAATTGAGTTTCCATAATAGAAAGATGAAAAAAGTGACAAATCGCAACATGTGCAGTTCAACAAAGAGTGAAAGAGTTCCTCAGACTCTTAATGAGGGCAAAGGTAATACCTAATATAGATTTAAAGACTTTATGATGGATCATCTCCATGGTTCTAAGATTTGAAAGAATACGTGTGTTGCCCTTAGTGTTTACATTGTCCAATAGGTTAATGTCTCAGTAGACACACATATGTGACACACACAAACAGTATGGAATCAACAGATTGAAGGCAGAGAGACAGATGAGCAGATTGGGAGAGAAAGAGCAATGGCAAAGATAGATAAGGATAGGTGGATGAATGGAGGGGCTTGTATATTATCTGATGTGATAAAATGACGCTGTGATATACTGTGATGCTGAAATGGAGTGATGATGGATAGATAGGGAGAGAAAGGAGAAGAGGGGCGTGTGACTGAGCTCTGTCAGTCTCTGACTGCAGTTTGTTCATCTTTTTTTGTCATCTGTCATCTTGAAGTCACTCCTTTTCTCTGTCTGCCTCTTTCTTTTCCTCTCCTCGCTTGATATGTTTGGGATGAAATTACCAGCGATGCTTGCGATTTCCTTGGTTTTACCCATACAAGCCCCTGTGGTCGGCCAGAATTAGTGGTAGGAAACCTTTATCCCACACAGGAAGTGATGCCTTTTCAGCATTTGGTAATAAAAAAAACGTCTACAAGCAAGTAATGAGCTCAACGAGGAAGAATATTCCAGCTTTCTGGATTCAGTCATACATTAAGCATAAATCAGTGCTACAAAACTTTAAAAAATATAAAAAAGCTGCCTAGCTTCTTTTGTCAAATACTGATATATCTGTGTCCGGCAGCAGATATATCTGGTTTTGAAGTGGATTTGTATACTTCTGGGTACAATAAAACAAAGACTGAGCTTTTCACCCTTCTTTGGTCGCTTTCATGTAATAGTTACGGGATGCTGTCACCTCGTTGGTTGTGAAATTCCTGAATCAGCTTGTCCAACAAAAAAAGCTGAAGGCCTTCATAGGTGTACATTCAACAGTGGTTTCGATCCATTGAGTTATAGAATGATGTTCAGATATCTGCTGTAAAAGTATACGTCGATCAAGCAGACAACAGAGTAATTTAAAGCAACTGATCCTTGGAAGAATTGAGGGAAAGCGTTGGGAGAATCTCTATGATACAGACCCTTGGGGCATTGCTGTGGCATAAAATCAGAGCTGTGGTTGGAATGACTCTCTCTATAGAAAAGCTATGCTGCCCTACAAAGCCAACCCCAGTAACTACACTAACAATGAAATTGAGAAAAAATAGCTTCAAAGTCTTTGACTGACCAGCCAAATGTGTTTTATATAGAACAGCGGGTCTATGCTTAATAAATATGTATTCTCTAAGTAATTTTGATAATTTGTGTTAAAAACCATGACGAATTACTTCACCTATGACCCCAAAAATTGAACTCTGTCTTTGTGTTACCATAAACAGATGTATAGGTAGTGCAAAGCCAGAGTACAGTAACTACAGTCTGTCTTCTTCCTGAGAAAATGTAAATACAAAACCTACAATACAACATTAAATCTGTATTTCGTATTGTTTCATATGGAAAAGTTGAAAAAGATGAGTAATTAAGAATTTAAGTATTATTTTGTGAGGTTTAATTAGCACAGTAATCCCTTGTCCTGTCCAGCTTGCTAGAGCTAGGTCAGTCATACCTTGTAATTACTGTGCCTAGGGCAATGCATACAATGGTGTGAAGTGATTTTGCCATTGATCATGTGTAGGTGGTGTTGGTGCCTAAAATTTTTCTCCAAAAACTCGAAAAAAAAAAAAAAATTCTCTTTATTGGACAGGGAAGGAAAAGCCATAGAAACGTGATAAAAATGCGACACTTTGGGAAATCTGCATATTTGCAGACATTTAGATGAGAATTTAATTCCACTCTCATATTTGTTCATATAAGGCTACAGCCAGTAGCCAGTTAGCTTAGCTTAGCTTAGCTTAGCTTCGCACAAAGACTGGAAGCAGGGGGTAAACAGCAAGCCTGGCTCTGTCAAATGAAAACAAAAGTCTGCATACCAGCACCTCTAAAGCTCACTATTCAATATCTAGTTATTATTCCTTACATGGTGCATCTTTGATTGCCAGGATGCTGCTTTCATTCTATATTTTGAGATGCTGCTTTCATTCAAAATTTTGCTCATATCAAAGAGATTTTATTCACCCAAAAATGAGAGTAAATTGAGGTGTAAAAGTATGAATTGAGGTAGTTTCCCCCTCTCCATTTATGTCATATTTCTTTCCTTTCCATTAGTTATTTTTGTCCTGGTCCAACTCTCCTGTTCCTCTCCTTTTTATGCGTCTATGTATTCATCTCTACATCTCTCCCTTTCCCTGACTTCCCTCCTTCCACTCCCACCTTCCCCTACATTTGCTCTAGTTGAGCCGGAGGCACAGACACATTTTTCTTTTTCTATTTTTTTTATGAATAATGACATCATCTCCAAAAATTGTTGGAGAGGAAAAGGGCTGCGGGCCCTGTCTGGCTTTGACAACACTCGTCTTCCACATTTCTCTCTTTCTCTCTCTTTGGACCATATTCGGCCGCTGCTGCATGATTTTCTGAAACTGTTGTACAGCATGGTGAAGAGGTCATTATGGTTTGATGTACATTTTTTTCTTTACCAAAACACTGCAGGAGAGACGCAGGGAGAGAAAGAAGATGAGGAGTATTTGACTCTCCTTCCCCCTCTGTCTCCCTTTCTTTCTGTCCTTTACTTTCTCTGTCCTCCTTTCTCTCTCCCTCTTTCTTCCCCTCTGACTTTCCTCTTACTCGTCCCCCTCTCTGGCCATCTCTCCTCCGTCTATTTTATTTCATCCTCCTCTTTTCCCCTACCCTCTCTTTCTATCTCCCTCTCCATGGTTTTGTTGGGGCCGAGTGGAAGTAATTAGCCGTTGCATAACACTGACTATGTTCAGACAGTGAAAGGCGCTTTGGCAGCGACTCGACAGCCTTGGTCCCCAATGACAACGCAGAGCCGGAGAGGGAAATAATTACACATACACATGAGTAGATCTGCGCCTTTTCACAAAATGAAAGAAATGAGATAGCGGTTATTTTATTTATTACTTCATTTTTTCCCCCCTTGGACTGGTGGCCGAGTCAGTGAATGTGAACCAGTTGTTTGTGGTTTGGCTGAACAAGTTGGCTTTCTGAATGCTGCAGCCATGGGGAGCATCACATGGACAGGCTCCTTACCAAAATGCT